AAGTCCCAGCCGAATCGAGACATTGTTTGTATGTATCATATGTCCCCTCTCCGTCATGATCTTCAGCTTGCAGGTTTTTCGGGCTTTGTCAGCAAGACAATTCCAGGCCAGGCCCGCTCTCATTTAATATATTCCATAGTTAACTTTAGGACTCACTTGCCACCGTATTCTTGTCATTTATTTTTCGCAGGTTTTTTGCAGACTGTCATGATCTCCCCTTGCTTTCACACCCCCTTGCCACCCATGTGGGAACAAAATACCCACTCGTTCGGGTTTACTTTGTCGTTTAAAGATTCTGAAACATGTGTGTTAGGAATGCCCCGAACATGCTCATCGAATCATATACCATCCGCCCCAAGATTCTCAAATGCAACTAAAACCCGCCGGTCTAAACGATCGGTCGAATCAGCGTGGGCGGTGCGGACGTCAGCTCGATGCAATGCGCAATGAGATGTCAATGATCATTCGAGGCGTGTTCGGACTCAATCTGTAGTGGTACAGTGCTGAACAATCGATGTCGCATGTCGTCCGAGTTTAGAATAAACCTGTGATCATGCACGATAAGATTCATACTTAGATATGAGTATTCGAACTGTTGTCTCGTCGTTCGAACTGTTCCAAACATTATCCTCCCCTCGCGCACGTTTTTGCGAGGATTTATAGCAGGCGGGGTTATATCACATGAGTATCGCGAGATTATCACCATTCACACGCCCGTTTAATTGTTTTTGGTATAGTATAGTATAGCTATAGCTATAGCTATTTTATTCTATAACAACTTAAGAACCAACCGCGGTCTCTCCACTATCATTACTCGACTACGGTTTACGAATTTGCTTGGGCTTAAATACAAAATATATTCGTACAGGATATCAAGATATATATCCTCATTAATTCTACACAGCGCTGCAGCGTCTTCACTTGCAATTGTTTAATTGATTATAGTTCTATTAATTCATATCAAATGCTGAAGAAATTCTCAAGATATCAAAGTATCTAGTTCAAAATACATATACCAAACCTTTCTACGAAGAGAATATCATTCCTAAAGATCGAAGAAGCCGGTTTATAACCCAATCAATTGGCGTCGCGAGGAGAATAGCTAATACCCAAAATATATCAGCCTGGTCTGGTAAATTTATAAAGATCTCAGCCGTCCAGAGACCCTCCACTAACCCCCAGACCACCTATAGAACCAACCACCAGAAAGAAACATCAGAGAAGAAGAAAGATGGCCGAACGAACCATCCCCCCATCCCCCTACAAACTAATAACCTGGAAGCACTCTAGCCCCTCCTGGGCCTCAGCCTACTCCCAACACACCTTCGACTGCCTCACAGACCCAATGCCCCAAGACTCCCACTCGATGTACTCCCTGCAAAACATCCCAGACTACTGCCTCGAACTCCGCAACTACATCTCAAAAACCATAGACGAAGTAAACGCCCACCCTTCCCTCCTGGGAACCGGCTGTAAATACCACCTCATCAAAATCAACGCCGTAGACGGGACGGGTAGAACAAACGAACCCGGTCACGGGAAGGCTCGGGGGTGGTTATTGTTGAAATTGGCGAATATGTATTATGAATTTCGAAAGGCGGGCGGGAAGGGGTATGAAAAGAGCGAAGCTGAGGAATTGCAGCTTCCTACTGGTGTTAGAGAAGGAGGAGGAGGGGATTTACCTGGGTACTCTGAGGGTGAACGGTCGAATTATTCGTCCATGTTCCAGAGCATGTCGAAGAATTGATACCCCGGCTTACCACCTGTATCACATACTACTCGAGCTCCCATGAAAATGGTATATCAAACTGATATATCAAAAAATTACTGGTTATTCCCACAAGCCTACCCCAGAAAAAGCGCCACGTCAAAAAGACACAAGCATGTAAACCACCACCTGCGCATACTATGTATGTATAATCTTCAGTCGAAAGCAAGGGCACCGTCCCATGCAGGGCAATCAATTATCACCTCGTGAAACCCCAAAGCAACAGTCAAAAGTACTCGATACACCGTACACATCCAGACCAGTCACATATACCCAGACCAGTTACATATGTACAATCCTGCCTCAAAAGAAGGAAAGGGGAAGATCATTACCACGGCCGGTCATTCGGTCATACTAACTTGGCTGTTGGCCCTTACTCCATGCTCCCCAGTTTCTTCCGTGTTACATTACATACATACACATACACATGCGCGCAGCGGCCGCAAGGAGCTAAAAATGTTAGTTTTACGTCCCCCTTCGACGCCGGAAAACCAAGTTCAGAACCAACATGCCGAAATGTTCGTATGTAGTCGTTACGCATCTAGAAAAATGTTGCATAAATGGGTTAAACCTGGGAATGTTTGTTTTGTTGGACGTTGGATCGATTTAACAAAAAGTCAAATTCATCTACGGGTTCTGTTATATTACCTACTGGGGCAGACCTGGTAGATTTAGTTTATCGATACGGAGGTAGCTCAGGGTCGAGCTCGAAGGTGGAGGGCTGGAAAACCCGTCTTTGGTATAATGTTTCGCTGACTAAATGGTTTTGGGACGGAATATTAGGCATTGGCTAAGCTGCGTGGGCCGGTTTTTATGCAACAGTTTGCATTGAAAGTAAAAAAGTCATGCGCCGCCATCAAAATAGTCCGGACGAGCTGTTCCTGATATACACCCGGATGGGGTTTAGGGGACATTCTTGAACGACCCACCGTCTACGTAGACCTCTCCTCACGTGATTGCCACCATCTGCAGGTCTGTATCTGTTGAGGAAGTAATTTCGAGTATTTGGTGAGGAACCAGTAATTGGACGGCCGACGAAAACAGTCGGAAACCCTGGGGCTTGTCTGTGTGTTCAGGTTCGTTCTGGCACATCTTATAATTGCCAACAAGTTAGGCGAACAAAAAAAACCAATAAACCAATCGAAATAATTGCTTTAGCTGCTCGAATCGAGGTGCTGAACCTTGCAGCCATGCATCCCGTTGCATTGTTGGAGAGGAATGATCATCAAGAAGACGTTTCTCACGGGGTTTTTTGTAACTCCGTAACTTTGCGAAAAAAAGGAGCCGGCGTCCGAGACGACATGGAGCTTGCCAGCTGCTAACAGGAAGCTTGAGCCGCAGGCATTTAAACCCCAGGATTCTTCAAAAAGGGTATTACGTTTTTTTAGAGGATGTTGCCTTTGCAAGCCGAACTGACGGAATCTCCCCTGCCAACCGGCCGTGGAAGACCCTCAACCAAGTACGGAGGTACTTTTTACCAACTAGTAAGCACGTTATCGGCAAACCTATCGATTTTAATTCCCTCGAAGAAAAAGAGACATGTGGCACCAAGATGCAACTCGATTTTTCCTCGAAGAGACAGACCCTAAAAGCTGCTTTGATGGTCCAATGGACAGGGGGTGGACGTGAATGAGAAAGACAAGACGATCAAGTGGGAAGGGGAAAAGGAAAAACCCTGCAATGAAGCTGGGGAGCCAGTCGCTGGGATGGCTCAAGCGAGTCCACTTGATTGGCTTCTGAGAACGCCACTAGACGCCAATTTCTCGAATAAATTGAATAGATTGCTGGGAGCTGGCACGGCCGACGGTTGGTTTTATTGGATGGAATTTACCATGCACAAGGTTTTGCAGCAGGGTGTGGACTGCGAAAAGGAAGGTGGGGACCTGTGCATTGGGGAAAATGCTCATGGTGGGGGCACCTCGTCGAAAAAGCTTCTCCTCGACGGCATTTATCTCATGTGGATTATTAACATATTCATCAAGAGAAAAAGTGGGTTCGGGTATTTGAGCCAACGATGATTCGTGCAGAATCGTGCTTGAGATTTGCATCCTCTCTTTAATCCCAAACAGCGAAAGGAAGAGAGGGGAAAGGGGAGAAGAAAAGGGTCACCCGGCGGCTCCGTGACTCGCGCACATGGCAAAAAATTGATTTCGAGGGGTCGCAGACGAGAAAAAAAAAAGAAAGGGAAGTCGATCGGTTATTCGTAGTCGGGATATGCATCCAGCATCAAGAAATGAAGGACGGTGACCTTGTTTGGGTCCTGATAAAGCAATAGAATTGCCAACTATACATGTACCTGTCGACAGAAAATTGCCCCCCTTCCGCCAGCAGGACTTTGGAAAGAATCCGACGCATAGTAGGAAGCCATTATGTAGCTTCGATGTAGGGTTCGAGGTTCAAACTGTTTGAGACTGGGGTTGGAGATTTGAAGATGACAGTGGGCAGAGCATGGGGAATTTCCCTTGCCTGCAGATGCATGATTCCTGCCCCAACTCGTCGAAGTGGGTTCGAGACCAGAAGTGGGCTAACTACATAAGAGACATGTATACATCGCTCGGCATAGGTTGGCTCACGCTGGTTCCGAGATTTGGTCGTGGCTGGACCTCGGGAAGTGCGACATCGATAAAAAACGGTTTCTGAGGAGCAAGTCTTTGATAAGCGGTGAGAGCTTTTGCTCATGCGACACTTTCCTTGTATCAGAATGGATATACTAAGTAAGTACTCGTTAGTACTTTTTTCGATATCTGATATGGCGTTCCGTTATCAGTCAGGTATCCCACTAGCACAAATTACCTATTGGATACTTAATTTCGCGGCGGAATAACACCCTGTTCAAGATTAGGTCGAGACAGAGAGTCCTTCGTCGGGATCTTGCTCCTGGGTGGGTTCTTCCTTGGAAATTTGCATATTTATCCGCCACCGTGGGTGCAAGACATGCGTAGGTGTACCTCCACGCACATATCGCGAATGAGGAGGCCGGCTCGACATCATTATTATGTCTTCGCAATAACGTCCACTCCCGTCCGTGGTTTTTGTTTGACAGCGGCTTGCGGCTAAAGGGATGGGACAAGACTTCAAACCTGCGACCGGGATACGTCGATATCGATGTTGAATTGATCCCAAAAAAAGGAAGTGCCACCTTGGAAGCGAGAAAGCCAAAACGGACGATCTAACCTCGACGGAGATAAAAAGATTTTTATATACTCAAACAAAAAGTTTGCAAAAAGGATGGCGTCGCCGATAGGACTCGAACCTATGCCCGCGAACGGAATTGATATCAAGAGAGAGCGGATGTCTTTCTAGTCAATCGCCTTAACCACTCGGCCACAGCGACTTAGATGTAGATGGACGGTGGAGATGTCTATAGAAAGCAACCGGGTTCGAGATCGTGTTGTTGGGGTGTTGCGAAAAACAAGAGCCGTTGATCTTGAGGCCTCCTTTCTGTGTGACAAGACGCACGAAGCTGAAACCTCAGCGAATGCAAGGTCAACACCAACAGCACCCAACGAACGGGTGATGGGCTGGCTTATGGACGAAACCCAGTCGGTGTACTGTTGAAGCATCGTGAAACATAACTGTGGTGCATAACTGTGGTATGAAGGAATGTATGTGTGCACGAGAGGGAATATAATTATAATGTGAATAAGAAGTATGTGTCCGTCCATGCTGGTGATTGCCATGCTCATTGGTACACACTCGCACTTGCGCAGCACTCAAACGTATCACCGACGACCATTAGCCGTTGGCGACACTCCTTGAACCCTTCTTCATAGGTTAACTAGTGAACATGGGGCCCGGCAGTGGATACATATCTGTAAGCTTCCAGACTATCGATGTCTGTACCAACCCGGGATGGTTAGCTGCAGAGCAGCAGCCTTCACTAGGCGGGTCCCGTCTAAAATGAACGAACGGCCTGCAGCTAGTAAAGTAGGAAGTTTCTTTTTTTTCTTATTCGTTTTTTTCCTCGTATGGTCTCCCGATGCAAAACTGCCCTGGCTGACGCTGGACTTAACTAGTATGTATATCTAGTTCTAGTTTAAACCGCACGCACTATGAAAGATAGTCTAGTTTGGGATTTGGGGATGCTGAGTAAATTGGAGCGATAGGGTCGTTCCATCGTTTTCGCCATTACATTTTACATTTCAATCTGTAAGCCATATGCAATGGGGTATATATGAATGAGTGAATGGATTACCTATACTCTGTGCATAAGTATGTATTGGGGGGGGGTCTGGTACCATGTTGTCCGCTTATTATCTCGAGACTTCAAAACATCCCGCGCGCCCGTTGAACCAATAATGGCCTGCCTACTTGCCTGACTGCCTGACTAACTGATTGAGTGCTTGCCTGATGCCAAAGCTGCCGTCCCTCAAAGCAAAACGAGAGATGATATATCGAAATGATTTAGAAAGAGAAGACCTAGAATATAATACTATATTATTGGAAAAAAGAAGAAAATAACGAATTCGAAAGGAAAAAAGGACCCGAGATGTGCATATGGAAGAGGGAAGCCATATTCCCCCATGGCCCATCTTACTAGTACGGACAGTACCTAGATTTCCCTTCCCAGCCAGCACACCCACTTGATTAAACTGCACCCACCACCACCTCCATAACCTTGCCCATAGCACTAGTCTGATTGAACGAGCGTAGGGACCAGGCCGTTCTCGACATCCACCCCGTTCGTTGCTCTGCTCTGCTTTGCCCTTCACTCCCTCTCCCTCTTTCTCTCGGTCCTTCCTTTTACTCGACATCTTTCCCTCCTCTTTTACAGTTGGCTCCCAAGGTCGTTCGTTCCCTTGTCAAATCTTTTGCCCCTCTGTCACGATATACATATCAAGCAAGCATAGCGATTGAATGAGGGGAAAGGGGGGTCAAGTCCCTGAACTGTTTTTCTTCTTTTGATTCTTCCCTCCTCGCCTTCACCTCTCTTCCCTCTCTCAATTGGCGCGCGTGTGGACCTGACCGAGCATAAGGTCGTCCGTCCGTTCTGCGGTTTTTCTCGCTTCTGGCTTCTGTTAAACTGATCAGCCAGCTTCCCCTTCTTTAACTCGACTACCTCCCACACATCTCAACGCACTCCACTCTCACACATCCAATCTAGTCTTCCCACAGACTCTCCGTCTCTCTTTCTCTCTTCCTCCCACCCCCCAATTGCCTCCCTTTCAAAAACCCTATCCGTCCACAGAACTTCAGAAAACGTAGTTTATGGGAATCTGTCTATTCCGGACGCTTCCTTTTAAAACTAGGACCGTTATTTTCCAAGTGGCCATCTTCCAATACCCTCGGTTATCATTTCCATTTTGTCAAAAAGCGTATAACGCGCGCGACGTTTTCTAATCAAAGCATCAAGCATCCCGTTTCCCCCCAAAAGTCGTCGTTCTCCGAAGACGACTGAAACTTTATCGACTTCAAGCATTTTTTTTTTTTGGCCTTCATAACCTTGCGCATTGTTCTATTCACACATTCACATTCAGCATAGTCGACGGGTGCATCGCCTCTCTGCGCTCTTTTTTATTTTTATTTTTTCCGTTTTAATTTTTCTTATTTCCACGGGGTTTCTTTGGTCTTTGGGCTTTTCGACCAGCATAGCATATTCACAGGCACAGCAAGCAAAGGTTGCACAGCATACTCGGTTTTTAGGTCTCATACTAGTTGCATATCTAGAGCGTTTCTTTTTTATATTCTACTGGATCCCACCCCTCTTCATCAGATACGACGACCTTCACAGCCTATATTTATCCATATCGCTATTCCTTCACATTATACAACCAACATTCCTTGTCAATATCAGGTTATTCCTACAGCAAGCTTGCATCAGGAGTTCTTCTTATCCAAAAGCAGCCCACCCCAAACAAGAACTTGCCAACCTCTTGCCCCTCCATCTTTCACTCAAGTTAGTTTCCGAGGCCCGCAAGATCAAACGGAAACTCTGTTTTGAATACGACCTCGACCCGGACTACCTTTCATACATCTTAGAAAAATACCACTCCATCCAGTAATCCGGACAAGCAAAGGATCTCCCCAAAAACTCAAAATATCAACGCCACGTTCTGTTTTACTCGACTGCTTTCGCACACATTTGCTGAAGCTTATATAACGACTTTTGTTTGGGAACGGACTTTGGTGCATAGCGCTGGTTTTCTTTCTTTTTCATTCGACAAGAGCAAGAGCTTCAGGGTTCCCGCCTTTGGATTTATATCAACCAATATCGTTCGCCTCGGTTCAACTTTCACGAGCTAGCTCCAACATTTCTCTTGCTCCAGGGCCTTAGGAATCCGTGGAGATCTCGTTATCAAAATCTGGTATATCCATTTTCCTACGAACTGCCAAAGTTCCTAGTCTAGCCTTTTTACCTGCAGTATTCCTTCGTTTTAAATCCGATTTTTATGTATCATTCATCGATTCGGACATTCTACACAACTTCTTTCGAAATATTATAGCACACCGACAACGCAACGATAAGCATATTATCACATTCCAAGTCGTGAGGGCCATCAACCATAGTTATTTTTTACATACTACCCCCCACGCAATTTGACAAAGCGGAGCCTATTAAGCGCTTCACCGAGCTATTGCATAAGTTTCCGACATTGGGTGTTCCTTGGCGTTTCCATTTTGGTTTCGATCCCGCCCGACAAGGCGAGCGTATCATTTATAGAACGGAAGTCTACTGTCATTCTGGCATAGACGAATCGGCCGTTTTCTTCTGCATTCAGTCGGTGAGCAATTTTCTGCATGCGAGATCTCTCGAGGCTCCCACACGGCGCGAAAAACGTGGCGGTTCCGTAATTAGTAACTAACAATTTGTTATTGCATTTCACGTGCATAGCTGTCAATACGTTTAAAAGGTATTCGTTTGAGGCCCGAGTGCTTGTTTTGAACGGAGAAACCGAGAGAATAAACACCTATTTCCCGTTGATAACGAGATCAAACGTGGTAGAACTCAATTGGTGTGAGGAAGCAATTGAGCGGAATATATAACATTTTACACACTAATCAATGGCTGCAGTGCTGCCGCTCTCAGGAATGTCTGGAAGTTTGAGTGGCACGACTACTCCCTCGTATGAGTTCCATTCTTCGAGGGGAAGGGAGTCTATCAGCTCAGGATCGTCGCAAGCTTCCCCACCTGCCACGGGCCACAGCATGATTTCGCCTTTTCCATTCGAGAATAGCGTCTTTTCCTCCAGAGGCATTTCACCAGTACCTGAAGAAGGCGGATTACCCACGGTCACGGAAGCTCAAGGCGAGCACTTGAGCAATGGCATGCCGGATCCTACCGTTATCATTCTTGGACTCCCTCGACATATTACGAATAAGGAACTCCGTAGCGTTTTTATTTTCGCAAAGGAATTTGTAAATGTTGAGCTCGTTCCAGATAGCCCTCTCGATGGCGGATTACCGCCTCTTAAGCGTTCTGCGATAGCACGTTTCCGCAGCTACCAGTCCGCGCAAGAGGCGAGAGATCATATTAACTCCAAGAGAGGGGAAATATTTGAGGGGGAGATTTTGCAGGCGACAATTCCAGTCAGTCAACAACATACGGTTCTTACCAGCCGGCGGAATACAACAGACAGTGCTTCACGGCCAGCGTTGCTCTCCGCGTCCGCTGCATCTTCTATCGCGTCGTCAGCTGGCAGGAGTTTAGGCAAGGCACAGGGTTTGCAGACGCCATTCTCGGTAGCAGAAGCCATCATCCCTCCCGCGGGTTTGATTGGAACAATCCCTCCAAGTCTCGCAAATGCCTCTCTCGGCGGACTTGGCGGTTTGGGTTCTCTAGCAAGCTCTAAATCTTTCGGCAGCAGTTCGAGCGATTATAGCTTAGGCCCTAGCCCAGAGTACATTACAGATGCATTTCCAACTCTCCCAGTACGAACGCCCGGCTCCGTGGGAACATCTAGCGGCAAAGCTTTGCTCATGGAAAGTGAACCTGATGCCAACGAGGAGTACGATACTCTTTTGAGCGACCACTCTCGTTATCTCTACAACAATCCTTCGGCCCTAGCTGCTGAGCCAGGCCTCGCGGCTATGCAGAAGCCTAGAAGATCGACCAATCCCGCCTCGATGGCGAGTCGATTCTCACAGCTCTCTCTCAATACAAACAACTTGCCGCCTCTTTCTGGACCGATGATGGGGTCTCCTGCAGCTATGGCTCCTGGTAATGCTAGCGCTCTCACTTCGCCGATTTCGATCCCGATGTCCGCGACGACGGCTACGCCTATGCAACCGTATCAAAGGGTCCTGCCTGCTGCTAACCCGGCAGATCAAAATCCGCCTTGCAATACACTTTACGTAGGAAACTTGCCAGCAAATACATCAGAGGACGAGCTCAAG